CTCACAATCACTCAAATATTTCTGACTAGAAACAGAATCACCGGAGAAAGCTGAGACGTGCTGATCTTGCAAAACTAACAAGACGCTGTCAAATTGACAAGATGAAGATGATGCTCAGCATGTAAATTTATATTTAAAATACATACATATACATGCATCAATTTTGAATTCTCAGCCCGATCCAGTGTCTCCTAGTGATTCTTATGAACAGACTATGCCCCCTCCTGGGGAAAGTTTGACGTGCAAAAAATAAGTTTTTACATCAGTCAGTTATCACTTTTCGTCTCTTTGTTGTTCTCTCTTTAAGTTTGAGCAAAATTCAGGAAGGTATATGTTGCTTGGATAGTCGTTCACTACTTTTCATAATGCATTGTGGGATACAATGACTCCACTGTATAGTGAATAAAATTCAAAATTTAGACAGCACTACAAAATGTCCAATTCACAGTATCGTGGACAGTATAGTGAGTAGTGAGTGATTTCAGACACAGCCTAAATATTTGCTACACGTATGCAAAGTATATAAACAACAGACTTATTTCTAATAGCATTGACGTACTGATCAAACTATCTTGTAAGTCCAGCTAACATCCACATCCATATACTGTACATCAATAATTTAACACAGTGACATTCTAGCATGGAGTTCATAGTTTTCAGAGTTCATGGCAATTGAAGTCTCCTAGCTATTGAAACACAGGTGTGATGATCAGCTATGACATGTCCACTCTTCCTGTGAAACACAAAGTCTGACTGAACATGTCGCAAAAAAATGTTTGCGTAAGAAAGAAGGTTTTGCAAATGTTGCAACCATTCTGATGCAAGTCCCACTTATTGTTGTCTATATTTTTTTACTGTAACAAATTATACATCAGCTGCATACAGTAAACTAAGCAGACAATTATTATAATCCAAAAATAGTATTAAATGTTTTTATTATTGTTGTTTAATTATTACAATTATGTGCATAGATGTATCCCAGATTTTTTTTTAATCGCTGTAAACTAGTGAAGAATCTTTGCAAAAGCCAATCAAAAAATTTTAGTTTTGGACTCGCTGATAAAATTCTTCATGTGGGCATAAACTGTACATTAATTCTGTTTCCATGAGACAGGAACAAGTGTTGAAACTGAATCCCCAGCAGAGCAGCTTGGCAGAAGCTCCAGTTGTCCTCTCTCTGCTCTGGTCCGTCTCTATGTCTGTACACTATGCCTCTGTGAGGTGGCCATCACTGCCGTGTTGGACTGGTGCAGCACCAGAGACAGGAAGCTGGACGGTCACAGCAGCCTGTGGGTGCCGCCCATGTACGCCACCGCAATCTACCTCATGGAGGGACTGAGAGCGCGGCTGCTGGCTCAGCGTCAGTCGCTGCCTGTGCGTCTGATGACCTACACCCTGTTCATCTACTGATGGCAGCTGAGCTGGGGAGCAGGGCTGGGGCTGCTGAGGGCCTGTCCCTGGGACTACTGAGGTTACAGGTACAACCTGGGAGGACTGGTGACTCTGGAGTACGCACTGCCCTGGGATGTGGCAGCTTTTATAGCAGAGCAGCATATGATTATGAACACTCTGCAGATAAGAATGCACAACTGAACTGGTATCTGTCTAGAATATTGTCCCTCCAAAGACAGCAAAACATTTCCGGACAATGTTTCACTTAGTTCAATACAAGGACTAGGACGAAAGAGCCGGCTTGGACACAAACAAGATGTATAAACATTAAGTTGTGGGTTTATGTGTGGTTTTTATTGGATCGTTTCAGCTGGTGAGTGTGCACTGGTTGCTTGGTAAAGTCACATGACAAACATTCTGCATGTGTCAATAAAATGTGTTGCTGCACCTGCTGATATATTATTAGCACAACACTGCACTGCAGGAAGTAGTGTTGTATATTTCTAGCTGTTCAGAGCTTCCTCCTACAGCAACATTATGACAGAAAACATGCGAAGACAAACAGATGGAGGCTTCACATGATGAGCAGCAGCTCAGTGTCCAGACATGAACCTCATGGAGCTGCTTTAAGAACAACTCGACTAAAGGTGAAAGCAAATCAAACTACAAGTGCAACAGACATGTGGGAACTGTGATTTTCTTTGCCAAAGGCAGTAAGTGTTTTATTCGCCTCCTCGCAATCAAAGATTGGAAGTGAACGGGAGGCGTGCACACACATTTGGCCGAGGCTTATAAATGCCTTAACTTTGATATTGTTATCAATCATCAACTATACACTGTAACAAATTACTGTAAAAATACTGGATATTTTGCACAGTAGTGTACCATTTTCCATTAATACAGTTGAATACTGTAAATTCTGATGTCTTTGAGGAACAAAATATTAACAGCAAGCTACTGTAAAATCTTACGGTAAAAAGCAGTATTTATTTATTTTTTACAGCAAGCTACCTGTAATCGTATAAATACAGTATTTTCTTTCTTTTTCAGTTTCACTTTAAATCAGACTTGATCTTCGGTCCGTTTAATAGTTCATCTGAGCAAAATAAAAAATTTAATGAAATTAAAAATAGGCCTACACATCAGTGTTTTTATTTGAGATTGAGGACACAATAACAAGAAGATGAAGAATAAGTTTTCATCCTGACTCTTAAACTGAAAGCACCAAACTGGATGGAGCACTTGAGGCATCACCTGCTGTTTTCCTCACCGTTCTCTCATCCACTGCGCAGCGCATCCTCATCCATCCTGTCTCCATGGCTTTCTTAAGAAGGTAAATATAATCTTGCAAATGTCAGCATAATGCTAATGTGATTTTGTGTTGGATTAACATTTTATTGACGCCGAAAAGATTGGGTCAAAAGTATGTGCTGCACGCTAGCGTAGTTACTCTCATTTAGCAACTATGTGGACAAAAGTTTAGCTTTCTGTTGAAGCACATTACTTAAATTAGCATAAGTTGGCTTGGGAATTTGATTTGTTGTCAGATCTAATTAAGGTGGGCTACAAGGTTGTATTTTACCATTTGTTGTTTTACTTTTTCAAGTAAATTGGTTTATGAGAGTTTATGGGAGAAGCTTGTTATGCAGGTTGATGCAAAAAGCTAAAAAGTAGCTTCAAATATGCACTAATGTAATATACAGTAGCTAAAGTTGACCAGTTGTTGATGTAATGATTTTTTTTTTTCTTGAGAGAGTATTTTAAAGATTTTTTTGCTGTGAAGGCCTGTAGTTAAAACATGATTATTTGCAACATATGTGGTAAAACCTGCAGGAATACATTTGCACATGTCAGGCACATGCAAACTCATAGTTGTCTCTTAATATATATATGCCTACTACTGTGTCAGTCAAGCAGAGCTCCTTGATCACTACCCACTGCCTCAGTATCAGTTTAGGGTATGTCTTTGCTAACTCTTCATCATTCTGTCCCAACATTTTAGATTCATGTCATCCATTGGTGATGAAATAAAGGTCATCATCCTCGAGACTTTTCCCAATTTGTCTGAGGATACTCAAAAACAGATCATCACAGATGAAACATTATTCACTTTTCATGTAATTAACTTCAGATAGTACAGTAGTAGCCTATAATTTAAGTCTCCAATCTTGTTTAAGAAACCATGCTTTTGGAATGGTAATGCTGAGAGTTCCGTTTTCTGATTTGAGGTGGGACACTGGAGGACTTTGGTCATAGCAGGTGTAATCTTCTAGATAGAAAGGTCATCTTGGGCTTAAATTGAGGCTTACAAATGTGGGACGTTTTTCATATCCATCTAAGGCAGTGACATGTATACTCAAATTCTTGGAAATGATCTTGGGAATTGGGATAAACTGAGGGTGATATTTGAAAATAGAAAGGCAGTAAGCCCCAGAATGTTATTCTGATAGTTTCCCCTATGTGTCAGGATCATAGACTGTGGTCAGGATACACCATGCAACATTTCAGAGTTATCTGACCATGTGTGCAGTTGCAGTACCCTAATATATGCAAGTACATCATTTCGCCAGAAGCTTTTCCCAAAAATAGTAATATTTTCACATAATAGTGAATAAAAGGTAGCAAACAACATCCTGAGGGGTGGACCTGGCTCCCGGCCTATTACAGTCAAGTACTGTTGATATGGATTGTGTTGCATGAGGCTGTTTGAAAGAGAATCCTGACATGAGAGCAGAGGAGCAACAGGCTGTCCATCCACTCCACTATATGTAAGATGAATGTTAATTCACAAACTTATAATATCCAAATAACATCTATGCTAATGCAGGTGAATCAATGCCATCTGAAATTGTGTTCCATGCATGAGTCTGAAGCCCACAGCTTCAGGCTGCTAGCAGTGGTCTGGAGACAACCACAGGAGACAACCACAGGAGACAACCCTGCCAGGACGCTTTGTTAGAGGAGCAGCCAGGTTCAGTAACACTGCTGCTGCACAAGGGTTCGATCACGTCGCGTATCTTCAGAGAGGGGGGGGTGCGACATGAAGTTATGTGAAAATACTGGATTATCATGCCAGTAAAAGATCGCTAGCGCGCTAACGCTAGCACGTCTGAAAGTGATGTTTTTTTTAGCAAACAAGCTAACTAAGCTAGCTTAAGTGAAGCTAGCGCTAGTTAGCTACGTTCATCAGTAACATATAAATCATTTGAACAGACAACATTAGCGTTTTAATCACAACACAATACAATATCCACAGTGTTGTTACAGTTTGAGTTTGGAAAAGATATTTTCACGTGTCATCATTTTACTTATTCTACAGTTCTCTTCACATGGTAGAAGTCACACATAAAAAGAAAGTGCAGTTTAAATGTAACCATCACATATAGAAGCAGTCAATCTATCTAGAAACCTTTTATCTGAGTCCAGGCCATTTTCTTTTAGGTGGCTTAGTTGTTTAAGTTTTAACGGTAAATGTTACAGATGGAAATCTTTGTTTGTGTTGGTGTGTCTGTGAGTTTAATACTCATCTACTGAAGACATTCCTCAAAGAATTCAATGGTAGCATGTAGATGTTTAGTTCACCACAAAACATTGCTATTAATACTACAACATATCTTACATGAAACACAACCTTTTACTAAAATAAGCAGAACAATTCAGTCAAATGACTGTCTTATAGTGAGGCTTCTACCGTTTAATAATGCTCTGTGTCTCAGGTTTTTCAGTGAAATTGAATGGGATTAGATCAAATAAGCATGGCTTTAATAAAGGCATGGTCATGCTAATATGGCTGAAAATGGATGTTGAATGTACCAGTTTAGCATGTAATTTTTATAATGTTATTTTGTAAAGGATAACAGTTTGAAATAGTACAATTTACAGGTTGTTCTGTAATGTGTTTTACACTCTGCTGTATTCTTCACAATATTATTCTGGCAACCACGGTTTTTTTCTCACAGTGTGGCATGTCAGGCTTATGTCCCAGAAACTGACAGTAACATATTGACAGTAACAAGGGGTCTAGAAGATTTTAAAACCAATACGTTTGTGTTTCTCGTCTAAAAGCTCCTGAGATTCTGTATGAAAATCCTTTCAGTGAGTCCATTGACCTATGGTCTCTAGGCTGCATTGCTGCCAAGCTGTTTATGGGCAGACCGCAGGTCCCTGCCTTTCCACCTGCAATACAACAAACACACTTCTGCTGTGAAGTTTTTGTATTTTTAAATCCACACACTTGCTTATAATAGAGTTTCCAGTAAAACTTCACTGATTTCTACTATTTTACTAATGAGAGAAAGTAGAGACACTCCATATGTCTCAGTTATATAAGTGCACCTGATCAACAAAGTGTTTGTAAACTTGAACTAACTCTCACAATTTTGTGTTTTCTCCACAGATGAGTCAAATTGGGAATGCCATTAGAGATCCACTGTGTGAAGGATATTTCTGACCACACGCGTTCTGGTCAAGACACTTGATGGACGGAAGGTTTATGGTGGGAAACTAGTTTACAGCAGACTCCACTAGTTCACTAATTATGGTGTCCTTCCTTCAGTCTGTGTTTCTTTACCCTGTGCCATCCACTGCCTGGAGCAAACTATCTCAATGAAACAATTCTTCATTTCAGTCAAAAGTTTGGTCTGTGTAAGCTGTGCTGAAATCGTGTGAAGGATCTGATGGACTTCTTCCAGGATCAGAGCTCTGATGACGGAGGACATGGAGACCAGGTGATCCTGCAAATGTCCCTGAACGAGGACTCCTCCAGCAGCACTGTCGGCAGGAGGGCAGCCCCGCTGGGATGAGAGATGAGAAGCCTTCCTTCTTGCAGACCTCCACCATCACCGGGGCCAAAAAAAGGAAAATGAATGCAGAGTGTGGCTACAGGTGGGTCTTTGAAATATCTCCCTGTCTTGATCATTTTATATTGCATTAGAATAGTTCAACATTTTGATTTATATTATTTTTATTTTGTTCATAGTTCAATGGGAAGAATGATAAAACTCTCATTAACTATGGAGCTGCAGCCAAGTGCATTTTTTAAAATGTCCAACCTCTGCTTTAACATCAAGAGTTAAACTATTTTCTTATCCACATCCCAGACGACTCCCAAGCCAAGATCAGGAGTGAACAACTGGCAGCCACTCAAAAAGGCACAAGTGGCCAAACGGGCCCACTAAAGTGCCAGRGGAAGAGAAAGAGGCATGATCCCACACCCGATGGCAACMMCTCAACAAAGAAGAGAAACATGAGCCTCAAAAAAGAGCTGATGGACCTTGTCAGAGGCAACAAGTCAGAGTCTGCCCCCTCCAATTCAATGGCTCATTCCCTCAAGAAGAGGAGGAGGGATGAAGAGGAGGTGCCAGTGTTGGACAAATCCTGCTCAGGGAGGAGAAAGAGGGGGGAACTTGGCTAGAAACCTCAAGACTGGAGTGAGGACACTGTCAAGAACTTCATTTGTTTTTTATCTGCCCTTTTTTTTAATTGATGTATTCATTTTGAAATGTTGCTTATTAACTTTTCCCAAACAGTTTGATTGTGAATGAAAACATATGAAAWAAACAATTTGTCTGAAAAGTCATGATTAAACTTAWGACCTGTTGTAATTCTGAGTTTTTGTCAAAATCCCAATAACTTCCATCCAAATGCAAYTGATGTTGGTSTAAACTACAGATGATGACAAACTCATCTCTGTTTACAATCTCCTGTCTATCCTGTTTAATAAATGATGACCCTGTTTGGCTCTCGACATGAGATGAATGAGAATATTCCCCACGACCCTCCACCCTGGTGCCATTTCCTTTTTTTCCCGACAAGCTTATTTTATATATTTTTCAATTTCAACTTTGGCCCTCTCTGTGAGGAGAAATATAGTTTATGTGATATTTWAAAACACTGTTGACAGAACAACACTGACCAATCCAAACCAAATGTTGCATAGACTGAAACTTTGTCCCTTCATACTTTTAACAAGTTCTATTCATATCAGCCGTGTTCAGTAATATCTCATTGTTTTTACTGAACACTGTTAACATGCATGTTTCCGTCATGTGTCATTTCACACGCCTGCATCACATGTGCAGATACATGTCTGAGATTTAACATCAAGTGTAATGATTCAAACTGTCCAGCAGGTAGAGCTGTTTAACACGGGGACACTGATAAAAGTAGAGTCCTGAAGAAATGTTCTGTTTATAGAGCAGCCTCTAGTCTTGATGACCACTCACTAGAGTGGAATTTTTAAATGGAAACAAGTTATTGCCAACACTGAGCACAGTTTTTTTTTAATGCAGTTTGAGTTGTGCCTAGGTCAGATATGACTAAAATGTTAATTTTGTAGAAAACTGAATAAATATGACTTTTTTTTCCTATACATTCAGTTGTGTTGGTTTAAAAATGTGTCATTACCTGCTGCTTACTGGCCGCTCAAAATGTCTGGCCCAGCTACATTTCTTGGTTTGAAAATCTGGCCCGTCTGAATTTGTAATTGAATAATCCTGGTCTATGGGCTAAACTGAAATTCCTTCTGAGCCAATAGCCATGTCTGAAAACTCCATTCATACCCATGCACAATACATAGTTAGATAGATACTTTATTGATCCCTATATAGAGAATAACTAGAGGTTGTTCACTACAGAGGGGTTGAATGGACATCAGACAGAGCCCGTATGTATGAACAGAGAAAATTGGGCATATAGGAAAACATACATATACTAGTCATTTTAGGCTAACGTCCTGTAACTACATCTGTTGACATTTTTGGCATTTTACACTCAGTACTGTTACACGATGATGCAGACTCTCTAAACCAGGGGTCTCCAACGCATCGCTCGCGAGCTCGCCAAAGGGCAAATGAATCATACATAAATTTGAAAACTTAATTGGTCCCTCGGCAAATCTACTTAAATTTATGTCCAATCAAAATTCACAGTTGTCCCGCCCCCGGAAAAAGCCGTTCACCGATGGCGTGATCGTAAAAGAGGCCATGACCGTGGTGGCTGAAACAGGGACCATAAAAATAAAGGGGAAATTATGTCTGCTATTGCCGATGTACAGCTTGGTGCCAATACCATGGCAAGGAGAGTGTCTGCACTGTCTGCGGATGCGGTAAAACAGCTGGAATCGGACATGAACAGGTGCAAATGGTTCTCTATTCAGTGCGATGAGTCTGTGGACCGCAGTGATACAGCCCAGCTGGCTGTTTTTGTATTTGTAGTAATAATAATAACGATCATAATAATAATAAAATGTTGTGATGTTTCAATACAGAATGTGAGATGTGGACAGTAACATATTGTAAATGTTCAGGAAACAAAGCTTATTGAGTTTGTTTGTTCGAAATGTTACAAAACATGAGTAGCTCTCGGCCATTTTTATTTTGTAAAAGTAGCTCTAAGAAGGAAAAAAGGTTGGAGACCCCTGCTCTGAAGTAAAATGTTTCGTAAAATCCAACTTACACACATGGGCATTGCACAGAGCGTGGAAAAAAAAGCAAGAGAATGGGATACGGGATGGGAGTGCCACGTATCTACGTAACCATGTATCTACGTAACGTGTTGTCATTACAACCATAGTCTAGCATAGATCTAATAAGCGCTACATGAATAATTTTCCTTGACGACCGGCTCACTCCCCATTCTGACCCTGATGGCAGGAGGGCAGCCCCGCTGGGATGAGAGATTAGAAGCCTTCCTTCTTGCAGATCTCCACCATCTCCAGGGCCAAAAAAAGGAAAATTAATGCAGAGTGTGGCTACAGGTGGGTCTTTGAAATATCTCCCTGTCTTGATCATTTTATATTGCATTAGAATAGTTCAACA